ATCTACCATGAATAGGAAAAGAAAAAAGTCTCCAACATGCCTCACTTGGTGAGATATATCTGCAATCAAGATATTGCTTGATTTCGTCAACCATTCTGACCGAGGGAGATCCATCACCGTCAGTTTGGACAACAGCAGCAGTAATTCTATCATACCCCTTGTTAATATACTTAAATAAGTATTTAACTGAAGTACTTTGATTACACCACTCCATATTGATGTGTGCTTGGAATTTCTTCAACAAATATGGATTGTAAGGAACTACATATCTGTTATCAAGTTTGTATTTAAAATTATATTCTTTAATATTAGATAAACTATTAAAAATATAATTTCCTTAATTCTCATATATTAAATATGACTTTTAGAGTGATGCATGTCAATTGATCCCCATAAACACCAACAACTATATGTTTAGAAATATATCATAAAAAATTATATTAATTCTCTTTAATTTTTCATATATTTTGTGTGTTAGATACTAATCACTAAAAACTCATACATATTAAATATGACTCTTTGGAGTCATACATGTTATATTATAATGAATAATATAATTCATTCTTTACTAAAAAATAATCGCATAAAATTTTCTTTACTTTTGAAAAAGTATAAAATCAATCACTTACAACTTTAAGCTTAGAGAAGTAATATTGTTAACATTAATTGTTTATCTCTAATTTACCTTAAGATGTATTTTCATCTATTTATTTTTCTTTTTAACACTTGCTTATAAGTAAAATTTGCACATTACATGAATTACTTTACTAATATCTTTAAAAAATGTTATCTATATAACTATTTAATTATACTATTAATCTATTTTAATATTTTGAATGCATTGTTTATATGTAACTCTTTTTATGTTGTCAATTAATAGAAAAGTAAAATAATGGAAATACGTAAATATTTTTTATGGAAAAAAAGTTAATATTTTTTAAATATTTTTTCATGGTTTTAGATAATGTAACATATAAATAGTGAATGACATTAAATACCACATTTTAAAATAAAAGGAAAGTATCAATTTATATATTTGATAGATAATGAAAAATACAAATTCATTATATTTGATATAGAGAATAAATTATTTTAAAGAAATGTGTATAATAAGAGAATAAACTTACGTGTATATATATATTTAGACCTGTTACAAAATCTGTATTAAAATGGACACAGAGAATCAAAATATGGAAATGAAGAAGAATTGGAAAATAATACGTAACCTTTTGAAAATAATGGAGAATGAAGAAGATTGAGGAGTCAAAAAGTATATAATAATATTATTCAAGTCACACACATCACACACATTTAGCCAAAAGAACTTTATGCAATTCAATTTTATTTTATCATAAAAATTAAATAAATTTCATACAAATATAGAAACCACATTATTACTAATTAAGTGTGATAGTCAATAGGGGAATGAGTAAAAATAATAAGATATCGTATTCCTTAATATTTGAAAAAAGTTTCTTAATTTAAAATTTTAATAGCAACCATAAAATATATAATATTGACTAATTGATACATAAATATATTAAGTGATGTATTATACCTAACGAGATTTCTTCTAATAAAATATTTTAACATCAAACGCATTGAGAATGACTCAATCATCAAAGACTATAAAAAATATATATTATATAGTCAAATTCTTTAGTGATAGCTCTTAGTGAACGATATAATAAATGATAGAAAAAATACATTATTTGAACAATTCTTTAAGGATGTTGTGATTTTTTTTCTAGGAAATATATAGACTTATAATCTCAAATATGTAATAAATTATATTCTAACAATTTGAAGAAGTTTCTAACATAATCAAATGTTAGAAAAAAATTTAGAATAATATAAATATTTATAAAAGAAAAAAATTTAGGTGCATTTCATTAGGTATGATTTATGCTTTTTTTTTTTTTCAATAAAAATATGACAAGTGTATAATTTTCTCTTACACATAAGTATGACCCACACATATGGAATTGTATCTAAGTATTCTCTTTTATAAAAAATAATCTAAAATAAATATAACCATCTTTCTGGGATGTATTAAAATTATTAATTTGTAAATGATGATCTAAAAAAAATTAATATTCATCCTTCTAGGATGCGTTAAAATTATTAGTTTATAAATGATGATCTAAAAAAAATTATTAATAATCCTTCTGAGATGCGTTAAAATTATTTTTTATAAACAATAATCTAAAAAAATATAATCATCTTTCTGGGGATGCGTTAAAATTATTTGTTATGAATAATGATCAAACAAGTATAATCATATTTAAAATTATTTGTGTCGTTCTTCTCGAATGATAATCATTTTATGAGCATATTACAAATTTTTATATCGATATAACAAAAAAAACATTTATGAAATCTTTCTGGATATTCAATATTATTCTCAAAAGTTAAAATTTAATTTTTTTTTATGAGGACCATTCTTTGAAGGAAAAATTTAGAGGACTAAAAACGAAATTTGAGATATTTACCAAAAACGTATTTAACCCTTATTCTTTCCCTCTTTTTCAAATTGGATAATATTATTGATGCAATCATTTTGTTAATTTTTAATATAATTGGTGTAATTTTTTTGAGATTCATTAATATTATAGATGCAATCCTTTTGAGATTCATTAGTTAATATTATAGATGCAATTCTTCTGATATTGTCAATATTATCCTTCATTGATGTTTTATGAGTTCTTCCGAAATTATATACTATTATTTTGTTATTTTTTATGGATGTTTGATAAGTTTTTTAAAAACTTATATAAATATTATTTTATTATCTTTCAGAGATGCTTGATAATCATCATTAATTTTTTTTTCTAATCAATATATTATAAATAATATATAGAAAATATATAATATTTTCTTTTTCTAATCAATATATTTTAAATAACAGTTATAAATATATATTATAAAAAAAAATAAGATAAGAAGAAGAGGGAAAGAGAAAAGGAGAATATATTTTATTATTCATATTTTAGGTCAATGTTTCAAATACAATATAAGTCCTTTTTATAGGAGATATATAATAAATAAAAAATCAATATGAAATCTCTCAAAACATCCATAATCATGTCATTTATAACATATTTAATATAGATGATCTCTATAGTTTATAGATTATTCATTATTTTTTTTACAAGAATCTATTCATTTAATATTAAATATTAAATATTCTATTTTAATATTATTAATTATTAATAACATTCAACTTTTAATTATAATATAAATATTTTTTTAATATAATAAATTTTATAATTATAATATAATAATTAATTATCAATTCTATAATAAAAACTAAAAGGTATCATCTAAATTAAATTTAACTTTTAAAATTACAATTAAAAAATATTTCAGATATTTTTTATCAAAAATTTTTCATAATTTTAAATAAAAAATTTAAAAACAATTACATTTCACCATTATAATTAAAAAATTAATTATTGCATTCATTGTTTAATTTCATATAATAAATTTAATTCAATATTTAATTTTCAATTATAAATTTAAGTTATTATTTATTAATAATAACTCAATTTAATTATATTATAACTATATTATAAATAAATATCTTTTAAAATAAAATCAAAAGAAATTTAGGATATTAGATTATTTCGGATATGTATGTGTATCTGAAATCTCTCTGAAAATAAAATATAGAGATTCGTTTGGATATGCATATCCGAAATAATTCAATATCTCAAATTCACAATTCGCAAGGTGCGCTTATATATGTACATTCAAATGATATTTTTGAGTTTTTAGAGATATAACTCAACATAATCAAGTGAAGAAAGAAATTCTCAACCCGGAAGCATCTATAAGCAATTGGATTGTCTACTGCAAGAAAAGCGTGAACAAGAAGACAGTTAGTGAATTCATTTGGAGTTCCCCAAGTTAATATAGAATTATAAATTCAAACTATACTTAGTTTGCAACTTGAATTGAGGTAAGGCTTTAAGAGTGTGCTTGATGAGTGATGACTAATCCATCCATTAAAGATGTTTTCATACTACTGTTTTTATACACAAATGCTACCATATAACTCAAGGTCTATAATTGGCTGTGGTAGAATGTAACAAATTCTGCAAATTACGCTTCAAACCAGAATATCTGAAAACTATTATGATCACACATCTGAGTTTCAAATAACCATTGCACCACCACACATTAAAATCTACTCTCAACATAACAAATCATAAGGAAAAAAACATGTACTATTTGATTAAGGAAAATGCTAGTTTTTGCTCATTGAATAATTGAGAGCAGAGTATAAGTTTCAATGGTCAGTTACACCAACTAACCCTCCTTGTTTTCTATCAAATACCAACTACAGAGATTTCACTTATATAAAAAGAAAACATTTGTAAAAATAAATAGCAATTCTCTTTGATCAAATAGTGGTGTAAACAACAAATCACTCTTTTCACTTCTTAGCGTACAAACAGAAATCTCACTCCTTGCATCCAATAATGTAAAATTGTTAATCGGAGTAAAATAAATAGAAAATTTCACATGAAAGAATCATATGAAATCACAAAAAATTCAGTTCAGGTGATACTCGCAGTTGAGAGCTGACCTTTTATTCAGAGACCAAGTTTCTAATATCCATTCCGTGAAAAACAAAAGTTATTCATATCCATCATTAACAAAACAGCCCGTTTGAATTAACAAAACGCCAGAAAGAAACTAATCAAAGCATTGTTTCATAATGTTACCAATCAGACAGGAATCTGCATGAAATATCCACCACCTGATTGTTCAAACAAGTCATGTAAAAGATTGCAGCATGGTTTGCAATTCATGCTTATGCACTTCCTTCAAAATTCGGAAAGACCAACCCACTATAGACTTGTGTTTATCATGCAACTAGTGTAGAACAACAACTAAGCACATGATATACTCAACATACAAGAATTATTTCTCCGAGGCTTCTTTGAACATTGGGGCTCACCCAATAAATATGAAACTGGAAGGGGCTAAACCGCTCAAAGATACGTTGTAGCAATTACAACATTTGTTATTTCCTTCTCAAGTTCGGCTTCATCAACCCACAATGAACTTCGTTTATGCAATAATTCTTTCTTCTCGGCCTTCTTCTCTTCATGCTTCTTGGCTTTCATTCTCCAATTTTCAAGTTTCTCTGCTCTCTCTTTTAACTGATTCACGAACATAAGAAATATATCAATAGCAATAAGCAAAATCTATACCAACAATGACTAGGTTATTGAAAACAAACACTGCAGAGAAACTAGATCAAAGTTTCTCTCAAACATAAAATTAAAGAAGGAAACAAGATATGAGTTCAACTTACATAACTTATCTGAATATAGATTTTCAGTATGGACTACAAATGCATCAATTAAGAGATAGTTGTAGTACAAAGACAAAAAAGTGGTTGGCTTGTCTTAGAAATTTTATACTAATAATGTTGGTTAGAATATGAAGACTGCTTAACTGAAAGGTATAAATATAACACAACACGGACGCTTAATTTATGATTGTAAAACTAGTCATTGAAGTTCATTGACTCTTCAACCTGCATATTATCAATGTGAAATCCACCTTAACTATAGTAAAAATAGGTCCATGTAAGTAATAAACCAAAGAGACATATTGCAGATATAAAATGTTTTCACTTTTCAGAGTAAGGAATGACAAATGTATTTAGGGGTTAGTTAGAGGACATGAATATCAACAGAACATTATCTTGCATCAAGAGTAGACTTCAAGGTTTAAAATTTAAAGTTTAGACCAAGTTAAAAAAGAACAAAAAGTTGAATTTAAAAATCTCAAATATGAACATAAAAAAAAGAGACAAGTTAATTCAAGTTCATTTTACTTGTCCAGCTTATGACCATTTACACTCTGTTACGTGTTGCTAGGAAGTTAACTATAGTCTATAGAGTTAGACAACCCAACATCCATTTGGTTTTATATATTTAACAGCTACCTTCTCAATTAAATCAAACAGTAATAAAATGAGACATACTCTCATTTAAGTTATTAGGTAGGTGATTTTGAGTTGTGATACATAAATAACCTGCCCATAAACAACAGTGACCAGCCTATATGTAAACTAGCAGCAACAAGACTACAAGAGTCTAATGCCATTATTTGCAATGTCAAATTAAAACGGTGACAATAGAAAAGACATGCTTAGGATTTTGACAGCACTAGTGAAACACTCTAATACAAAGCTTATCATAACCGTCAGAAAGGAGGAGACCGCCTATCATACAAAAAGTTAATATGAATGACACGAGGGCGAAATTTAGACATGTTTTCCACTATTTTTCTTAGGTCAGCTCTCGTACGAGATCTTTACTAGTTAATATGAGTGATAGGTTTCCTCAATAGTTGATCAACGCCAGCAGTCATCATAATGATAAACCTCGAGAAAACAAAGAACACCTAAACTACGTAACTTATAACGAGTATTGAAAACAAACAAGTGTATTTCAACAAATGAAACATAAACATCAAATTTTCAACAAAATATATTCGAGCTTCAAAACAAGGAAAAGTATATGTAAATCGTTTTTTGTTTCCCTATTTGACCCTTACAAGCAAAATATTAATGAAATTAATTTATGCACAGTCAGTGTAAAATATCTAGTGAATTTCTTAACCCACCCCATGACTTTCTTACGCACCACGTGAAATTCCATAAATGTCCCTCAAAACCGGAAGTATACTTCCGGTGCGCACCTAGATCTGATAAAGTATACATAGAAACCGGAATTTAATTCCGGTTTGGAACCGGAGGTGTATTTCCGGTTTTATTCTTTACGGAAAACAGAAAACATTATTGAATTGCATCATAATCTCACAATACAAAATTCCGGTTTAGAACCGGAAGTATACCTCCGGTACCGTTTTTTGCATTTTGAAGGGTGAAACCACATTTGGCCTGTTTTGTGCAAAATATGGTGTGAACCGGAAATGCATTTCCGGTTTTCCGAGGGGAAATTTCGGAATTGCACAGGGTGTCCCTTTTCCATATGGGGTATAGGGTAAGAAATTTCCAAATATGTATGCTCACAAATTACATCATAATGTCACTTAGATTAGATCATTCCTACAATTTTATAAATAATTAAACATCTATATCGTGCTATATAATTGAATAGAAGTTACACTGACAATCCATACAAATAAAAGGCATGTGTAGATTGTCTTATTTAAGCTTATCTACTGACATAAACACGTGTGAAACTGTTTTGGAGAGCTTATGAAAACAACTTATGATTTGTCCATAAGCTTTTTTCAGCTTACTTCCATAAGTTCTTTAGTATAGCTTATGGAAACAACTTATTTCAAATATAAAAATAGTTTACCTGTATTTTATATTGTTGTATAAATAGTTTATACAAAAGCACTTATGTGATAAGCTACTATGTCATCATTGCCTAATTAAGTTGTTTATCCAAACAAGACTTAATCCAAATCATAATAAACTCCTCATCATCTTCAATTCATCTAAAAAAATCTTCACACTCATTCACAACATACAATTCGTAGATTCAATTTCCAAAATAATAAACTGAAAAGATGACTTACAAGAGTTTCTCGAAACTGTTGTTGAGCAATATTCCGTTCCTGAGCCCTAACTTCTGCAGCCTGAGCCTTAAGTTTCTTCCGCTCTTCATTAGCAACTCTAAGCAATTCCCTCCGAGCCTCATCCTTCCGTTGCTTCTCCAACGCCATAGCCTCCATTTCTCTTATGTATTCCTTCCGAACCTCCTTCACTTGCTTTGCATAGTCTCTCCGAAGCTGAGCAAGCATAGCTTCAGCTTCCTTAGGATCCTTCGGAGCTTGCCAGCTTCCAACAAAGGAGCTCGGCGAGAGGAACTTGTGATTTTCGCGGTGGTTGTTGTGGTGGGAGTGCGACGCACGTGTGGCGAATGAACGCGCGTGTGAACGCAACAATTTCCTCCACATCATTGAATTGAAATCGTACTGCAAAATATAATAACAAATTTCTGTTTAGAATTCATAGAGAAAATGTAAGAATTGTTAGTGTTTGTATTAAGAAAATCAATTCTAATTGAAATTGAAATCTATATAATTGCACGTGAAATTCTCAAAAATTGAAATTGAACTGCTGAATCTTGCAGCGATTGCCCCTAGTTCTGGAAAGAGAGGAATTTACATACCTAGGAAGAAGAAGAAAATGGAAACCCTAGTTCTGAGCGCTACGGGGTTTGAATTGTTGCAGGTTGAGTTGTTTGGGGTTTCGTGAGAAATGCAACCTCTAGGAATTCTCTCAAATTTTTCAAGTAGCCATTTAGCATGAGAGAGAAAAAAAATTTAATTTACAATAAGTTAGGGTGTATTTAAGAAATTCTAAAAGATTTAAGATAAAAGAATTTTGTGATATTCAATTTTAATCTAAGATTTTTATTAAATAAATAAATTTGTTGATATTTAATTTGGGAGGATTTTTTTTTACAAGTGATGTTGACGTTGGTGGGGATGATATTCACAAATTTTAATATCACGATGCTTCTTGTATTCATTCAATAATAGAGATGTGTATGCAAATACTTTGACGACTAAAGTAGTTATAGTTGTAATTGAAACTTTATAGTTTAGAATAGTGTGTATTTGAGTATGAACTATTATTTATTTCCTTTGTAACGAATTATAAATAAATTTGATTTTTTTAATATATTTGATAATTAATGTATATAGTTCATATATGAATTACGTACATTAATTGTCAAATGTAACAAAAAAAAATTAAATTTACTTATAAATTGTCACAGAGAGAGTATAATTTATAGTGATATTCAAGGGTTAAAAGACCTTAAATTATTCTTTAAAGATAATTGTCTTAAAGAACAAATGTCATATGATCTACGTGTCTTTATCGTTTCATGGTCCTCAAGCGTCTATTCCACTGTTAGGGTTAGAGTGCTTTTATGATTTAGATGTTTTAGATCATTTTTGTGGAAATAGTTGCTTTAGAGAACGGTCGTGAAATGATCTAGTTGTCTTTGTTATTTGTGGTTTTTAAACATTGGTTGGGAGTGTATATATGGATAAGGTGAAATTATCTTATACCTCCCTCATTCTCTTTTATAAATAAATTTTGACTTTTCATATTCAATGAATAGATGATGTATTTGAGTTATAAATGGACTAGATACATTCATTACACAATAAATCTAAAACGATAAAATTTGCTTATAATAAGGAATAAATAGATTACTTTAGTTTCCACGACATGGCAACCCGGTATTAAGATAGTTTAGGCTTTGGCCCAAACAGAATAGTAAACCCTCTAGTCTTGGTCGACGGAGCCAAGTTGTGGCTTGCTTCAAGGTCCTACAAGTCGGATCACCATTCTCTCGATAATGATTAATCATCATGATCCTCTGTGGAATCTGGCAAGACGAATCCAATAAGGAGCCTTGAAGTACGTGTCTTGGATGTCATGAACTCTTATATTGAATTTATTAGATGTCTCTAATGTCTAATTGGGGTTTTTTTATTACTTTTATCCTTAACCACCATCAAACTATGACTTGTAACTCGTCTTGATCTTTGCTTTTCTTTCTAAGAAGTGAATTGAAACCTCATAAGTAGGTACATTGAGGTGTGCATTAATTACTTTTATGGGAACCATATACATAAAGATGGTTTTAATGGGGAACGAAATTCTTATAAATGGTGTGGCAGTAACTCATTGGCCCTTTCACGACCCTATTAGATCCCAAACTAGCCAACATTGGATTGGCAAGTGTTTCGACTTCTGGCTAAGAATGTTTTTCTAAAAGAGGGAAAAATTTTAAACTCTACTTGATTATCATAGATGTTGTTGGATAAAAACCCACATGTTCCATTATGAGCTTGTATAGTCGGTGTCTTTTACTCATCACTCTTCTTGGGATGATAAAATGTATAGATGTTATGATAGTTCTTGAATGTACTTATTCCCCTATTTGTTACTATGATATGCCGCAATTTGAACTCAACCATATGTATTTTCCCTTTTCCCCGTAGTTGCTAGCCCTATGTCTACCATGTCTACAGTGATGCACCCATTTAATGATCTCTACAGAAATTGAGGCATAATGATCATTTCGTGAGAAATAAAACTCCTAAAATTGTCATGTGAAAATTTAAATTGGTTCATTGAAGACCTTTTGAGTCCCCAACTTCTCATTAATTGGATTTAACTTATTCATATTCTCACGTTTAACGGGTTGTCTTATAAAAGAAGGGTGCATCCTTCCTTGCTTTTATTTTCCTCCATTGTTATCTTTATTTCTCAAACTAGTTCATCTTTAGTACTTCATATTTTTTAGTTTTTCTTATGACTTTGTATTTTCATTAATTTATAGTTCAATTAACTCCATCAAATATTAATCCTCCTTTCCACAAATGAGTTACTTTATTTCTTGTTGATTTAACTTTATCGTTCATGGTGAATCAACCATTGTTGATCCCTTACATGCATGTGTTTTGGTGTCTTCGCTTTTGATCATACTCTATTTTCATCCATTCATTGTAGTTTTGTGTGTTGTAGTGTTGTGTTAGTGTTTCTAAACTATAATCTTAATAATTTGTTTCCCTTCTATGAGTGGTGGTGCAATCAAGTGTGTAGACGGTCTTTCCCCCTAGTATGAGGAAGGAAGATGATAGTAGCTATAAAAAAAGAAGAAAAAAACCTTTGGGTTTACCTCTATATGTCTTTGTAAGAGTTTATTACTAATATCTTTACGTGTTATGGGAGAAAAAATATATTCCACAACCCAATGGAGTGGGAATGTAGATTGCTACTTTAGACTCTATTTTTTCTTTACGTGGACAAGTTATAAATGGACATGGTTTGTCGTTATCCTATCAAAGGAACAACAGTGGATCCTACAATAGACTACTTACGACCTCACGTGCATTTAGAGTACCTTGGGACATCATCCATCTATTCTAAGTAAAACAATATCCATTTCTCCCTTTCATAGTACTAGGAAACCCCTCATGATGGATCGTGGAAGTTCTAATTCCCAACGGACGTATTTGTGGTCAATATTTCAATTGTTTGTTTCATATCTACAACATTGTATTTTTCTAAATCGGGCTCCTTATCAATTGCATTCGATCTCTTGGGATAATATTCAACTTGTCCAATACTTACATGCCTACCTAAAAATCTTAACTCATATTTTTATTCTTTAACATTTTCACCTTCTTGGTAATTTGTGGAACTTTACCATGGCTTGGTTAAGTTTTACCAACATTTGAAAATTTTTGAACCCAATGTTGATTTCTCTAATGATTTTAAATACTGATATATAATTATTATGTCTTTGACGTCAGTCACTCATAAAACATGTTGAGTTTAACCTATATCTCAAGTTATTGATGGAAATGCAACTTTACCTTGTACGATGTCTTTATTCCCTTGGGACAACCATGGTCTTTTATGCCTTTCCCTTGTGTAACTTGTATGAGGAAAGGAAGCACGATTGGCATGCCTACCAGGAATTAGGTCTTGATTGTCTTTATCTCTTTCTTCATCCCAAAAGCCACTAATAACTCGATAAAGCCCTAAGCCTTGGTGATGGACCTATTAAAATCTTGGATGCATTAGAAAATATATGCAATTAGGTCATTGCACGCTATCTGCATGGCATTAAACAACTCTAGATACATGATGTCACAAGATCTTCCCCTATTGACTAAGACCTTACAGACATCATAGTTTTCACTAAGGTCCTCTCGAATAGTGAACATCGTGGTTGGGTGTTCCATTAATTAATTATTTATTGAAAAGGACAATATGGATTGTCTCCTCTTACTTGCACTGTGTTTGGTTGCGAGGAAAGTGAAAGGAAAGAAAGTATTAAGATGGAAAGTTTCTTGAAAGTAGTGTCTTTCTTTGTTTGGTTGTCAAAGATAAAGGAAGGAAAGATTAAAATTTATGGGTCCCGTGTGAATTATGCTTTCCGCTAAGGAGAAAGCACGTGAAAAACTTATTTAGTGATAAAATATCTAAAGTGTCTCTAGTTTAAATAGTGATATGTATAATATACAAATGATATATTAAAAAACTTATGGTCACGTGTGTTAAGTATTGTTTTTTCCTCATTTTATTTTTCAGTTATTTTTAGATAGGCTTTTTTTTGCTAAACATTTGATATTGGTTAATAAAACAATACTAAAATATAATTAAAATAATAGATTTATCTTTCAAAAAAATATTACATAGTCAATCACTTGTCAATATAAAAAAACAAATATATATGTATGTTATATTAAAATATAAATATATTTGAATATATATCCCTTTTTAAAAGAAAGGTATTAATGTAATTTCAAAAATATATCATTTTTCTATTTTAATTTTTAACTTTCTTTCTTCTTACTTTCACTTATACCAAACAACTAAAATATCATCTCCTTTTATTTTATTTTGTGATCTAAACAAAGCCTTAGTCCATGCTCCTGCTTTTTAATAGGATCGTCATTTCTCTTAATTTCCTTTTTTATCAAATAAAAATACCCTTGTTCGGAATTGGGGAACCCCCTTATACCATTTAGATGACCCTTCCTTGGTTCCATTATTCTCAATATTCTTCTTACTTTGAAGCATAAATAGGGACATCCTCTTGGGAATGGAATATTTATCCGTCTACTTCGTCCATTGCGGGATATCATCCCACGAAGTGAACATGCCTCTAGAGATTGTATACAACACAAATAACTTTCTTCCTTTTTCGTCCACTGAGGGTTTTTCCTCATTGGAGGCCTAGGAATTCTTGAGTCTTCTTTCATGTGATGGGGGCTTTCTATTTAAACTCAAGTTCTTTAGCCTTTGTCTTTTCAGTTGATGCAAACCTTGACTATTTTCCTCTTTGGGTCATATCCTCAATAATGTCTTCTAGATTGACACACCATTATCTGTTGTGTTTGTTGCTTCTATGGAAGTGTAAGTA